TCGATCCCATATATACTCTTTACTCCTATCCTTTTCCTCCACTGCAACTTAGTGTAAACAAGTGAAAGAGATGGAGGCAATACAAGTTGCTCAATATGAAAGTGATGCATCAGATGAAGAGATTGTAGAAGAAAATTATGATACAAATGGAAATGAAAGATCTTCCAAAAAAAGAGAACCAAAATGTTGGGTTAATGAAAATACATTTGATAATGCTGGTGAAGCAGAAGCATCAATTGGAAATGAACGGTCAAAACATTACACGAACTATACAGAAAATGGAAAAGTAGTTTATTATAGATGTGACAAAGCCAAACGTCGTGGATCTCAATGTGAAGCACGTATTTATTTACTGTATCATGCAGATAGTGATAAAGTTACTGTATATAAAACCGAAGTTGAACATGGTAATCACCATGATAAACTTCGTGGTGTTGATAGAAATGTAAAAAAATGCATACAAGAATAATATAATGAGGGTATAATGAAACCAAAACAAATTATTGGAGCACTACAAGCAAGAAATGTAAAGATACCAACAATGATTCAGCTTAAAAATTATCTTGTCCAGTGCAAAAAAAAAGAAATATGGTACATATATAATTAGTTTAGGTGAATCTGAAGAATGGTGTAAAAATAATTTAAACATCCCAACTGATCCAAATAAGCCTTTTGTTGTATCATATAAAATATTATATAATGATGAAGTATATGAAGATGATCAAGATATTGAAGATGATGGTGAAAATAAATTTCGTATATTTATATCTTTCATATGTTTGCTCAATATTGCATCCACGTCTTCACATATACATGCGAATGCAACACATAAATTAGTATGGCAAGGTTATCCAGTTTTAATTGTTGAAACAACTGATTTAAATAAATCTTTTCATCCGTTTGGATTAGCAACATGTTCGAATGGAAAAACAGAAGATTTTGAAATTATTTTTAATAGTATACAAATTGGTATGCAAGTAATAAATAAAGATTTATTAAAACCAACAGCATCAATCTCTGATGCTGCTGACGCTATTAAAAATGGATTTAGAAATGTATTTAATAATGAATATAATCAAATAATGTGTTGGGCACATATGAAAAGAAAAGTTGAACATCGTATATGTCAAATAAATGACAAAGATATTAGAAAGGAAATAATGGAAGATATTGAGATGCTTCAATTATCCAATTCTGTACCTGTATTTATATTAGCATCAACATTATTTATTAAAAAATGGAATATGAACAACAAGCAACAAAACCGATTAATATTAGATTTTTTAGAATATTTTGATAACGAATGGTTTCAATCGAATGATGGTTGATATGAAGGTATACAATTTTATACACCAAGTACAAACAACGCCCTAGAGGCAACCAGCAAAACAATTAAAGATGATGGAACATTTCGAGAACGTTATGTTTTATCAAGATTTTTAACAATAACTACAAACATTATCAATAACTGGTCAGTTGAACGAGATGGATCCTCAATAAATGCAAAAATATTCGCTACAGAGCCAACAATATCTTTACAATTATGGACTTTATCCTATCAATGGACTAAATCAATAAAAGATATAATTTGTATTGAAAATAGTGATTCAAAACAGTATTATATACCTGCCCGTGATTTACAATCGATTACACGAGCTGATTTATATAAATATAAAAATAGAAAATTGTCAAATTTTAATCAATTCAAAAAATCATTTGATATTTGGTGTATGGAATTAGATAATAGTTCATCTTGGAAAATATCAAAATGCAATTATCCAGCTTTTTTTAAGAACTATATATGTAAACACATCGTTAGTATGGCTATTCATCTGAAATATTGCAAACCACTACCAGCAGCAAAAACAGTTCCCCTCAGCGAGAAAAGAAAAGAGGTAGACCAGCAAAGACTAAAACTGCTTTGCTCATACAATAATTTAAGTTTCATCTTCTTTGTTTTCTTTCATTCTGTAAATTTTTATTTAATGTTGTATTGTCATTTCTTTTTATTTATTCGATATTTTTTAAAATTATTTTCCTTAGACTACACTGTTCTTTATATGGATAAAAAGAAATTTCTACTGGTAAAATTTCTATTTTTCACTGACCAAATTTCTATTTTTTACTGATCGAATTTCTTTTTTTTTACTGATATAAAATGTATTTTTTACTGCTAATTGTATACAATAAACTGATCATTTCGCAATTAAATACTGCTAATTCTAATACTGATCATTTAATTTTTATACTGACCATTTCATCTATTTTACTGACCATTTAAATCGTAACAATTTTTTTTTATTCAATATTTCTAATTTTTAACTTTCGATTAAAAGTAAAATTTTAAGTATTGATTCTATGAGATGAATTTTTTTTTCTTCTTTATTTGTTTGATATAAATGATTTTTATTATAAAGCATTTTTCTTAATCCCAAAAGAGTGTCCTTTAAAAACCGTGTAAACGAAAATCCTTGATCATATCTTTTTCATAACGGAAGTAAATATAAATAATATTTTTTCTTTTTCATATTCTTTTTATTTAATACACGAATCAAGGACTTGTTTTTTTCTTCCATCATAATTTTATATTTTTAGTTTGCCATTTCAAATGTCAGATAACAATAAAAAATCTCAATTAACTTCATTATATAAAACTCGTCGTCCAAAATCATATGAAATTGAACGTACAAAAGAAAATTTAAGTCAAAAAGCTGCTAAATCACTTCGATATGATTTGTACGTGTTAAAAAACTTTTTTTGTTCATAAAAATAATGCTTTTTTTGTTTTATTTTAGAAAATCATTTAATAAAACTAATACAATTCCAAAAGAACGTTTTAGTCAAAATACTGTTACACTTCATTTTAAAGTATCTCTTAGTGAATTACTTGATAGAATGAAAGATGCTGAACCATCATTTGTCAGGTACGTGGGTCAATAATGTAAATGTCACATTTACATTGAATCGACGAATGTGTTGAAAGGATTCGCGGATTTTTTTTTCTCTTCTCATTTGTTTATACAGATTTTTTTTTTCTTTCCTATCTATCGATCTCCATTGTCCCGTCGGTTAAGATTACTCAACATACTTCCAAACTCGTTTTGTCTACTTGTTGTATTTGTACTGTTGTCACCTTCGTTCGTGACATAGACAAACACAAATGAGAACGAGAAAAAAAAAAGAAGATTTTTTTCTATGTATTTGTGTATATATATATATATGTGTATTTATCTCACCATTTGATGACGAAAAGAAAGAGAGACCTAGACGAAAGACTAATGGGAAGTACAAAGTAAACAAAAAAAACGAGTGCGAAAAGTATAAAGGGTGACAAGATAAAATAAAATGAACGAGAAAAGAAGGAAGTTTATACATTATTTCTTTGTCGAACGCTAGAGGATTGTGTTTTGTGAATATAAAAAAAAAAGAATGATGAAGGACAGTTTTGTCTTTCAATCTTTATTTTGTATACAATTATTGTTATTCATTTAATGTCCTCGTAAAAATATTGTTCAAGCACGTAAGATCAAAATAACTCATCTTTTTTTGTTTTGTCGGCGTAATGTTATTAACATTTATGTATAACATGTATTAAATATATTATAAAACAATGTCGAGTCTGTAAATAATATTTAAAAGAAATGAATAGTTATGCGTTTCATTTTGTCTTCACCTTTATTTTTTTTTATCCGGTTGTTATGAGTTTCTTTTTTTTTTTTACTGACAATTGAATTTGCAATTCATCACAGAAGATCTTTATTTTTATAAATAGAAAGTTTTGATAATAAGAAGAAGATTTTATTTGTAATGCGCTAGAGTGTGAATGATGCTGAGAGTTGATTTGATCGAGAATATTATAGAATTTTCGCTTGTTCGTAATGGTGTTAAACATTCCTCTCATATTTGATTAGAAAGAAAATATTTTACCTTCTTAACATAGTTCGATAACAGCTCGAATGTTAACTATCTCAGGCTAACTCTTACAGATCATAATTATGCATATACTGAGGAATCGTTGATTAAGATAAGATTTTTTTGTTTTCTCCTGAAAGAATGTTTGAGATTTTTATTATGAACAGTTCAACTTCGTCTCATCTAGACGTATGTACAACTGAACAGATCGATCACATCGGAAAAAGAATCTATGTTTAGATTAAAAGATTTCCAAAAGTGAATATTTTGAACGAGACTTGACCTTGTTTTCAAGATGAGACTCATATAGTCTTGAGGATTCTCGTAAGAGAATAAACATTATCTTTATCGTTAACTTCTCAGTCTTAATGCATACCTAAACATAATCTTTCTCATTACAAATTATAATTTAGTTTTATAAATGTATGTTTAATGAACTACTATTATGGTGCTATGTATGAATATTAATTGTAGAAGATTATATATTGAGCAATGTGTAAAATATTCATAGTAGAATAATTATTTTGATAGAGTTAGAAATAAAATATTTAAATAATTTGTATATATTTATTCATTGTGTCATTGTGTATTATTCAACATTCGATTTGAATCTTCTCTCTTTTTTTTTTTCTTTCGTAATCTTACATCATTATTATTCAAGGTAAATAGTTTTAAGATTCATTGGCTATTCATATACATGATCGGGTCTGACGTCTTTAATTAATACTTATTTTGATAGACTAGCAAATATATATCATTTGTTGACTGTACAGATTAGAAAAAATTAGGTTTATTCTCTTTTGTTTTCTTCGTTATTATATGCTTGACTTTGTTGATTAGTTTTATATTCAATAAACGTTGCAACAGAGATAAAGAGAGAGAGAGAGAGAAAAAGTATATACGGTCAACGCGTTGTTTGTTTGTTTTTTTATTTATCTATCGATTAGTCTCAATCGTCGAGTAACTGTCTAGCTAAACGAAATCTATTGACATTCCACGATCGTTCTTTTTCTTTTTTTACTATTCTATTCATAATTGCTATCGTATTGTTTTGTTTTTTTTTTGTGTTCGTTTCTAATTGTACTGTAATGTCAGATTTTAACTTATTTTCATCAAAAACTGATATAAAAAAATTATTATTTACAACGGAAAAATTTAAATTTGATGAACAATGTTCAAATGATTCATGGCAAGATTTACCCGGTGTAACACCAACATCATTACTTGCATCATTTATTGATAATCAAAATATTCAAACATTATCATCATCACCATCATTATCCGATAATAGAAATGATTATGGTTGGGAAACTCTTGATGATTATTCAATAATACCAAAATCTTATGGTTTAAATTATGAACAATTATCAAATAAACCAACAAGTCATTGTCGACTTGATCGACGTGGACATTGGCTATTATTACCACCACCACCACCACCACCACCACCGCCGCCGCCGCCACCGCCACCGCCGCCACCATTACTTCATACAGATACAAATAAAATTGTAACATATTATGGCAAAAAATGTTTACCAAGAAATTCTAATCAAGAACAAATTGAACAAAATTTTCCTGATTCATATGAAAGTTTAGCTCTTTCAGTTGATTTTGATGTACCAGCAGATGAATTTGTTATTGATCATGATAATAGAATTCAAGAAAATATTCAACAATGGAAAAATAAAATACAACAATATGAAAATAAAACATCGAATGATATATACAAAAAATCGAGGTAGACTAAATTTATTTGTAATATTATATGATATCAATAATGAAACTATATTTTCAAAAAATGTGTATTCGTAAGACGTAATCTTTTTAACAGATATTTTCTTTCATTTGGTTACAACAGAAATTTATATTATAGAGTAATTCTTGTAAAGATTTTTTTTTTTGGTGTATTATAGTTTGAAATTAATAGTTCACGATAGTTTTTTTTTTAATCATATTGAGTATATATTAAGAATCGAAAATAGTTAAGTACCTTTTCGTTATTGTCGATAAGCTTATTTGAATGATAAAAATCATATCGGTTTTTATAGAGCATAGAATTCTCTATTGCATAAGAGTAAAATAAGATCATAAGATAGATAAATAATTAAAATAAATTGTAATCTTCTTCTGTAATTTCAATTGAAGATTTTATAGTTCGTTCTATGAAAAATGAATCTTTCAATATTTTAATGATATTTCTTTTATATTATTTGTTTGTTCAGATTTTAGACTTGCCTTTTAATTCTCTATAAAATGGTATAATAACAATTAATGTAAATAACATCCATCATTTTTCGAGACGTGCTTCAAACGAACAGTTCAAGATAAACAATCATTTAATATAACTTTTTGTCAATTTGATGAAACATAATCTAAAAAGAGGATTGAAGTATAGAAGTAAAATAGATAAAATAAAACAGTCTCTTGTAATTAGCACTAACAGCTTGTATGGTTCAGTTTTTGTAATAGATATTTCTTTCGATGTTACTTTGTCTAATTGAAATAATGTAAAAAATCGAGTACTCCGATGTATTTAAATCTAGATTATTCGATGGTTAATGGTTCTTGACGATAAAAGAAGAAAAGTTGTTCTGACTACACTGTTTTGTAATTGATGGATATGAAGTTTAGCCAAGGGAGAAAAAGCAAAAATTCCGTATGTCAAAGCTATCCTCTAGACCTTCTTCGCTATTTCAAGTTTACCATCAATATGTATCACGAACATATTTTATATATCGTACTTCAGAATTTGAATATCACTGAAGTAAGATGAAGTATTTCGGCTTTATTATCAGACAGACTTTTATAAAATGAATTCAAACTAATATATTCGTGACATACGTTGATAGTAGATTTGAAATAGTAAAAACATTCTAGAAAATAGATTTAATATGTCCTTGGAGTACGAAATTTTCGCTGCTTTCTCCTTGAATTTACTGAAGACTGATAGTAATTTCTTTAGAGAAGATTGAATACTTCAGCAGATCGATGTACAGAACCTCATATTCATGAATTACATAAGAGTGGGGTCAGGATCATTGGTCATCAAATAATCTAGACTTAAATACATTGAACTATTCGATTTTTGTACATTCTCTCGATTAGAAAACGTAACATCGAAAGAAATACCAATGAAAGAACTGAAGCATACAATCAAAAAAATAACAAGTGACAAAATATTTTATTAGCAAAATTGTTCGTTTGAAGCGCGTGTCTGAACAAATAAATATCATAAAAAATACTGAGATTTTCATTTTCTTAGAGACACTTGATAGTATTGTGTATCTGTCCGATATGTTGAAGATGTGTAAATTTAAATATATTAAATATAATTTGTATCATAGATGTATTAAACCTAATCACGGTAAAGTAGCTAATCAATTTGACGAAGAATTAGTTCAAGAACAATTACGTTATAACGGTATACTTGAAATATCTTATATACGAAATCAAGGTTGGCCTGTTCGTTTTACATTTGAAGAATTTTTAAAACGGTTTGTTTGAATTTGTTTTTTTTTCTATATTAATTTAATGAATTGTTTATTTATTTATTTATATTAGATATAAATTTATTTCTTATCCAGAAAATAGTCCAATAAGAATTAATGCAATAACATGTGAAAAAATTCTTAAACAATTATCGTTTACTGATTATGTTATTGGAAAATCTAAAGTAATTCGTTTTATTTTTAATTTGTTGATTTTATTTAATAAAATTTTTTATTATTTTAGATCTTTTTAAAATTAGAACATTTAGAAATTTTAAATCAACATTACGAACAGTATATAAAAAATATAATAATATGTCAAAAAGTTATTAAAGGTTTTCTTATACGACGAAATCTTTTACGTAAAGCTAAACAAAATGCAAATGAACGTCATATTTTTCTAAATCAAATACATTCTAACGGAAAAAAAACACTGGAGAAACTTGTATCATTACCAAAAGTATATTTTGTTTATTTTTTTCTCCCATTATTTATATTAAAGAGAAATAATTCTATTCAAAGGTCTCTACTAAGAGCATTCAACAAACATCATCAAAAACTGATGATAATGGACGTTTAGGTCATTTTATAAAAAAACGAACAAAACATCATAAAAAATCAACACAATCACCTGTTATTGTTGATGAAACAATTCCAATGAATGAACAAGAACATAATGAAATGTTAAAAGTAGCAAAAGTAAGCCTATAAATATTATAGACACCAGCTAGGGAATATCTCCAGCGAAATTCAATCTTGGAAAATTTTCGTTTTTCCCTTCCGGCAAAACTAAACGATTGTATGACTCACCAATACCTACAATAAGGATCAACCCTTCCCGAAATGCTATGAATCTTAACTTCTTCGTAGTCGCTCCTCTTGGTGATTTCGGGACATCCTGAAACCAGCGAGTTTAACCAATTGAAAGATAAATAATTCGACTACAAAACTATGTCGAATTCAATTGGTCAATCAGTTTTGAAAACAAGATTTTTAAGATATTTCCTATTGAATTAAGAGTTGCAATATAACTATTCGATAGAAAAAAAAACTGTTCTCTTTTGATTTACACAAGGCTAATACATTCTGTTCGAAAGCTATGGAGGATTTTTCAGAGACTTCTAAACAGAGTTGCCATCTCTTCCGCTTTTTCGAATAAAAGACTTTCATTTGGTTATTCACAAATCGACATAGAAAAAAACTGTTATTATTGTGATCACTGAGGTAACTATAGTCTGTCATCACAGTTATTAGTCAATCTGTTAACTTACTAGAGCAACATTAAATTTTTTGCTATGAACGAGAGACTGTTTTCAACGTATATTGATGAAGTAAAAACACCATTCTACATTCAACTAATAGCTAACTCTACTGATCCATTTGTTTTTCTCTGTTCTATTGACACAGAAAAACGGGCACAAATCCGAAAATTTAAACTACTTTTTTGTAACAAATGCATAACGAGATAATAACTGAGAATGAAAACAATGATGAAAATCGAAAACAGCAACAATAATGCTACAATCAGATGAACATAAATCTGTAGAAATCACAAAGGATACTTGTGGGTCCAAGAATTATTTTCATCCACATCAACGTTTACATCATAAAACTATACAAAATTCAAAAAGTCAGCAAAAATAGGTCGTGTGAAGTGAGCCAAACATGCTTAGCAGAAAATTGTGGTTCACTTTATATAGGGAAAATTGATCAATCAAAATGCGAGCCGTTACTTTACCGTCATCCAACCGTTTTCCCAAAACAGAACAATAATACTCACAACCCGGAAGTGTCATTCCCAACACAGAACAAACGTACTCATCTACCCGGAAGTGTTATTCCCATAACAGAACAAAAGTACTCACTACCAGGAAGTGCTTTTGTTCTGTTATGGGAATGACACTTCGGGGTAGTGAGTACTTTTGTTCGGCTTTGGAAATAGTACTTCCGGGTTGTAAGTATCATTGTTGTATTTTGGTAATAGCATTTCCGGGTAATGAGTACCTTTGTTCTGTTATGGGAATGATACTCCCGGGTAGCGAATACTTTTGTTCTGTTTTGGGAATAGCACTTCTGAGTTGAGAGTAGTATTGTTCTGTTGTGGGAAAGATACTTCCGGCGCTAGAGTGCTACATATTTACAGTGGGTATAGTATGGACTTCACTTTGGCTCACGCCAACTTTGGGTCACTTCATACGACCGCAAAAATATAGGTTTCCGCATTTTTTCGATGAACTTTTCGCTTTTTCGACTTTATGAGGTGGCAGTCCTGCTCCTGAACTCAGCGATATTCTTGATTCAAGAGACGATCTTGATCTAAAGCTATAATAACATGATTTTTGAAATTTCAAATACTCGCATCTTTATCTTATTTCTATCAAAAGTTATTTGAAAAACATTACTGTGCCATATATTATAGCATCGATAATAGTTACCTTTGAAAAGTTTAATGAATATTTTTTATTTAGAAATTACAATTACTTAACAATGATGAAATAGATGAATTAGATGGTATTGATCATCGAATAACATCAAATAATGTATCTGGATCTATGACAAAAACTTCTGATGATATTAGATCTTCTATGGAAGGTTTATCTGAACGTGAAATACGTATTCTTGTTCAAGATGAATTTACACCTGGAACAATAACAACTAATAAACAAGGACAACATAAAAAATTGCCTATGGAATCAAATATTGAATCAGGTTCAGGATTAGCAGATACAACAACAAATTTACAAAATCCTTTAAAAGTTCATGATGGTACAATTGCTGAAATGGCAGCTAAAATTCCTATTGCACCAACAATAGATTTAACAAATGCTGAACAATTAATAAGACAAACAAAAGTTGCTGCAACTAGTGGTGATCTATTTATGACTGGTATATAATATTTAATTAATATAATTACAAATGTTAATTTGTCTTTTTTTTTTAATTTTTATTTAGATTGGGCAGTTGGACAAAAAGAAAAAAAATATTCGACTAATGTTCGTTCGAAATCTGAACCTCGAAATATTCTACTTAGTCTTCATGATGAAAATATGTTATCAGAACAAAAACGTAGTATAGTTAAAAAAATTCTTATGTTACAAAGACAAAAATTTAAAGATAATCAAGCACGTAAAGCATATAAAAGTAATGAATTTGAACATTCAACATATAGTTTTGGTCATATAAATCAATCATCACAAAATAATAATGATGAACAAGCCTTATTGAACAAGTAAATTTACTTGAAGAAAACAAAAAAAAAATATATATACATCTTTTGTTTTATCTAGTGATAGTTTGGATTGTTGGGATGCACCACGTACAATTGATGTTCGTGAAGCATATGAAAAAACAGTTCATTGTTATCGATTATCAATGAGAATGTTAAAACTTGCTACTTATATTGTACTTAATATTGGTGTATTATTAACTGCACTTGTTAGTAAAGGAGCTTTATTACTTATGACAAACTCGGTGGCAAAAGTACAAGAGGTAATAAAAGATAAATAATATTGTTTTTGAAATTTTTTTTTGAATCTACGTAAATCTCAACTTCATAATGGCTTTCTGAGATCTGCCGATTTCAACAAATTGACATTTGAAGGCTCCAAATAGAGATAATTCCATCATACTGAGTCGAATGATGAGGTTTGTTTTCAAATTCAAACTGATCTGAAACAACTATTTCAGTATTCTTGAGATTTCACAAAATTTCCTTTTATCGAAATTCTAAAAAATCTTGATGAATCATTTCTGAATCACCTATGAAACTCTGGAACGGCATTGCATAGATAGAAAAGGAAGAATTTTTTTCTATCAATTGGTCATGTTGCAAGTCAAAATCCAATAGAAAATGACTTGTGAATAGTTTTTTTGTTTTTGCAAAATTTCTGTATAGTACTCAGTTATTGACCAATCAGATTTCAACATACTTGACCGATCCAAAGTCTTTTATTGAACTCAGAATGAACATCAAAAGTAATCAATTTATTGAAAATTTTAAGATCATTCTATTAAATTACAGAATAAACGAGCATTATTTTATAAGTTTTATTTGACCTAATTACTGCTTTCTATAACAAATTAATCTTATTTAAAAATATAAAATTTTTTAGACACCGTATCGAGAACGTTGGGTATGGATGTTATTAGCAGCAGTATGTGCTCCATATATATTTACATTCTTTGAAAGTCTTGGTAAATGTTTATTTGGTAATAAACCATGGCCAACTGTAAAAATCTTTACTGTCGTATGTTTGTTTTTTTGTTTTTAAATTTTCTTCATTTTATTTTTAATTAATAGGTTTTTTTCATCGAAACTTTACATAGTTTTGGTATAGCTATATTTGTTTTTCATATATTACCTAAACTTGATGCTGCAAGAAGTTTATTAATAATGAATGCTGTATGTCTTGTACCTGCCTTTTTAAAATTATTTTTGACTAAATCAAATTCATCAATTGTTCGACGAAGTCTTTTATTTCTTATGGATTTTTTTGCATTTGCTATGCAATGTTCATGTGTTGGTATTGCATTAGCATCGAAATTTTTAAAAAATGATGGACCAATACATATACAAACAACAGTATCAACATTACTTTATCCAGCTAGTACTACTACAATACCATTATTAAATCGACATAAACGACAAGATAATTTATTGACTGATGGTTTTAATTTATTTACATCAGATATTAATAGAAATAATGAAAATATTTTATTAACAACACCACTTAGTAATATTAGTTCAATTGATCAAAATTTACAAACAATTTTAGCTGGTTTTCATATCGAATGGGAATTACCTGTAGCACTTATTCTTGTTTCATTAGCTTGGTAAGATATTTAACATGAAATCAAAAAAAACAATAAGTTATTAGCGTAATTATTGAGAGATTAATGTATGAAACTGCTGATGTTGTAAGAGAAGAAGTTTCAGTTTGTGAATTCCTGTATACTGTTAATCCATGTTAATAATGAAAGATGATAATCGTTATATATATATATATACAGCGGTCAGCATGAAAGAATAGCAAAGAAGAGCTATCTAATCCTGCGAGCGTGACTATTGTGGTCCATAAGAATGAAGCAGCAATACTAAAGTATCTGTTATGATCTGTGACTCAGATGGCCGAGTTGCTACGTTGTTCAACACGTATCCACAGCGTACTGTATTTCTATCTCAGGATTACCAACCATGAAATAATCTTAGATCATTCATCCGATAGCATACTGAATACATATTAGCTGACTTTCTGTCCAGAGACATAGCAAGTATTAGTTGTAGGGACAATATCAGACTATTAAATCTCCTGGTATGCAGCATCACATACTGCAAGACTGCTGAAAGGCAACGATATTCTTTTTCTTCTGCTTCCTCTAATCAGATCAAGACTGTACAGATCGGTTCTAGCAGACTCTAGTGAAATTCCACTGTTTCCAGAGCCCAGAATCGTCGGTCTAGGTGAGAGAGAAGAGACATTGCTATAACGTCTGTCACATCTAGGGGGATGGGGATCCAAATGTCTATTCCTATGTACTTCAATACTCATTTCGGATCGTGTATCCTCGAAAATAATGCCAGTTCATAAAAATTTCCTATAGGTGAACAAATATTTAATTCTATTACCTATACATGATATTTCTCTTTTTTGAAACACGATCTAAAAGGAGTGTTGAAGTACAGAGGGTAGAAATTTGGACCCACTTTCTCACAGATCATGACAGATGTTGTTGATATACGGTCAAAGAGATCTTATATCAATAACGTCTCGTTCTAATATATGAACTACTTCCTTATTGCATTTCTTGAGGATTAAGTAAAATGTTGACGAAGACGTATGTCCCAAAATAGATAGAAACGAAACAATCGCCCTGTGATATCAAGTGCAGTTACCAGGTCTCGAAATCAGCCCGGGTCCGAAATAAACTTTGTTTACAAAGATTTTTTTTCTCTATAGACAGCTATTCCATATTTTTCAGCTTTTATAAAAAGTTATGACCACCAGGAGGTAGCGTGGAGAAGCTTCCCTGTGTCTCCTCGGGGTGAGCCAAATCTCAGAAAAAGTTATGTCAAAAAAGGATAAAATCGTCAGGCTGAGCGTCCCGTTTCGAGGTCAAGTAACTGCATCGTGTTTCATATTTGAATTGTACTAACAACTTTTCTTTTGTTTAGGTGGGAAAATTTTGTTGATCGTGATATAAAAATTGGTGGTCGTACAATAGTTCATATGAAATTATTAAAAGAAAATATTCTTGCAACACGTTCAAAAACATCAATAATAATAACATGTTGGAAAATATTTGTAACAATTTTATTTGCTTATATATTTCATCATGGTATATTTAATACATCTGTTATTTTTCCAATAAATACTAATAATGAACAAATAGAAGATCCATTACCAAAATTATCATCAGGACAAAATTCATGGGCAGCATTAGGTTTTGATCAACAACCAACAGAAGGTATATTTCCAATTTTACCACCACGTGAACGTCGTTCAATTGATAATATATCAATATATATAAAACGAATAAAACGACAAATGGATAATGATTTTTCAAATAATTTTCCTTCTGATGATGAAACATTATATTCAACAATAGGAGGAAATAATATTGGAGGAAATAATATTGAAGAAATAAATCCAAAAGATCGTTGGATATTTTATTTAACACCAATGATATTAAAAATTTTATCCGATGCATTATGTTTTTATATGGGTCGTTTAGCATGTAAACTTTGTATGCAACGTGTATGTTTTGCATTACCAATAACATTAGTTACACCATTAGCATTAACAATATTACTTGTTATGTGTTCTATTACACCAAAATCAACTATTTTTATTGAAAATTTTCTTTTTTGGAGTTGTTATGCTGATTATGCTAAAGAATCATTTCGATGGCAAGTTATTTGTGGTCTTGTTTTATGGTGGTTATCAGAATTATGGATTGGTGGACATATTTGGTTTGGAAAAAGTCAACGTTTAGCATTTACTGAACGGTAAATTTAATTTTTAATTTTAATCATTTTAAATATGAAAATAAATATGTTTTATTTTAGTTTATTTGTTTCACCACGTTATTGTGCAACATTACTTGAACAATCTTTAATGATGAATCGACGACGAAATGAACGTGATGAAATTTTAACTGGTACATATGATGAAATGGGTGCAACAACAACAAATGGTGAAACAGAATTTGATGAACAAAGTATTGAAGAATTATCAATAGAAAAAAAATTAACTGCTGAAGTTCATACAAAAATTTATTCATGTGCAACTATGTGGCATGAAACGGAAACAGAAATGTTACAATTATTAAAATCGATTATGAGGTTTGTATTAATTTGAAACTTCTACAAAGGTTCCGAATGAGTCACCTGGTCTGAACTTTATTTCTTTTATCAAGGAAGATTTTCAATAAAAGAAAAACTTCGATTTTTCAACTTTGAAGATAGATTTCATTTGAGTTAAATCCTTCTTAATTGGTTTTTTTTTAAACCAGTTTCAATCGATCAAGAAAGACTGATATCAATGTCAAAATTTCTTACATGGATTTTGCACTTGACAACTAATAACAATCAGAAATCTTTATTATGCGAACGTTTTGGAAGTTTCACGTAGTCAAAAAAATAAAAGCAGATTATTTATTTGGTTGAATCACATTCCTTATTTTACACATAAAGTCGAGTGCACTCCCATATCGTAAATACCGGACAGTTTGTAGCGATAAACCGCGGTAAATTGCAGTAGCAGAAGCCGGTAGCCGAATCGGTAAAACCCGCAGTAAACTGGCGGGTTTCCCAGCATTTTTATGGCATGGGAAGATATAAGAAAAAAACATTTAAAATAGCAAAGTCGATGATTTGAAGCAACTAAATGTCAATAATCATCGACGAACCGATTAATCGGTTCATTTTAGCGGTAAATTGCAGCGACGGGAGCTGGTAACCGGACCGGTAAAATCGCGGTTAACCGCCGGTTTTTATCACATGAGCTATTAATTACATTAAATATCATGAGTGTTACTGGAATAGAACATTATAACTAAAAATAGTAATCGATCCGACTCTTTCAAATTGATCAGCAGGTGTTTTTACTCGTGAAAACTTGTCTTAATAAATAATAGTGTTCTAGAAATTGAAGTACCCATGAATACATCTTGCTCTTTCGGTCAAAAACTTATTTTTCAGGAAAAATACAATAATATGAAATATTTGAAAGGAATACTTTAAACTGTGTAGAGAACAAAACAATAGAATGAAAAATCTGAAGAATCTCAACCAGAATAAGAAAGATTGGCCGTCAATAAATGAATCCGTCTTTATTTTAAATTAGATTTCATCTTCTAATCTATTAATTTCGAATATATTCCACTAAAAAACTCCTTTTAGGATATTGATAAATCAAAATTTTAGTAATGCTTGAAATGAATAGTATGGTTTTTTTAAAACAAAGATCGATTTTCTGAAACAATAAATATGTGAAAGTCGTATACGAAGGTTTCACTTAACATTGAAGGTAGAGAAATGTTCTCTCTCTTTTCAGTTGCATTTCTGATTTGATATCAGGGCTTGTTAAATGAACAAGTATCCTAATCCTAGACTAGAGTTAGATACCATTCACCAATAGCTCATGATCTTCAAAACTATTATGCCCATACTAATTCTCGACATTGTGTCATGGACGATCTACTGATTTTGATAAAACTTTATATTCAAAATATAACTTCTATTTTGTTATTTTTATATATTCGATATAAAAGAGTTTAGTTACTCTTGTTTATTTGTACATTTGAATCAGTTCGTATTGTTTTTTATTTCTACAGATTGGATAGTGATCAATGTGCTCGACGAACAGCTCGAAATTATTTACATCTTAAAGATCTTGATTATTATGAATATGAAGGTCATATATTTTTCGATGATGCTATGGAAGAAGATGATAACAATGAACAAGTACCGAATAAATTTGTCCAACAATTACTTGGTGTTGTTGATCGAGCTGCAACGTAGGTCTTTTCCTTTTATGAAACATGATCTAAAAGAAATGTTGAAGTATAAGATTGAAACTTTGAACTTCCACAATTTATGAGAGAAGTCTCGCAACTAAATCGGGACTATATGAGCTATGAATATTCGGAAAAGAGTTCATGCCTTTAGGTTATTGCTACGGAGATACTGTACTAATAAGCTAAGGACACAAACTATTTTCAAGGTATTCATAGCTCATTTGAATCTATGTGATACACATCGTCTTAACTCAAAAGTTATTCATCAGTTGTGAGACTTCATTCATTAGCAAAGATCTATCACCGATCGTGAGAGTCTTAGCCATGAAACCTAAGCTTTTCATGGAATTATTATAAAACAAGATTGAATTTAAAATATCTATCTTTGACCTCTTTTTCAAATTCATTATAATATATTACGAATAACATCTTTTATTACTCTTCTTAATTTTTTTTTTAATAATATTGTTATAGAGCTATTCATCAATGTCCAATGAAAATTCCTCCACCATTTAAAACACCAACACCATATGGTGGACGTTTAACATGGATATTACCAGGTGGAAATTTTCTTATAGCACATATAAAAGATAAAACAAAAATTCGACATAAAAAACGATGGAGTCAAGTAATATTATTGAGTCTTCTTGTTTTTTTTTTATTTATCTTTTATTAAATTCTTTTTTTTTTTTTTTGAGGTTATGTATATGTACTATTTACTTGGTTATCGTTTATTTGGTGATTTAAATATAATTGAAAAATTATATAAACGAAAACGAAAAAAAAATTCATCAAAAAGTAAATCAAAATTATTTAAAGGTTTTGGAAATTTATTAAATAATATGGATAATAAAAAACGAATACAAGTAATAAAGTTCTTTTTATTCTAATAAAAAACAAAAGAGAATTATTCATTAGATGGAAAATACATATCTATTAGCACTTGATGGTGATGTCGATTTTCGACCAGAAGCTGTACGTTTACTTGTTGATCGAATGAAAAAAAATAAAAAAGTTGGTGCTGCTTGTGGTCGAATTCATCCAATTGGCAGTGGTAAGATCTATTCATTTTATTATTAAATTAATATTTATTTATTAAAAAAAAAAAAAAACAACGAAAGGTCCGGTTGTTTGGTATCAAAAATTCGAATATGCTATTGGTCATTGGCTTCAAAAAGCAGCTGAACATATTCTTGGTTGTGTAGTATGTTGAGAATAATCTATTTCATTTATATTCTATAGAATGAGTATTCTTTTTCTTTTTTTTACTATTCAGATGTGTAGTCCAGGTTGTTTTAGTCTTTTTCGTGGTTCAGCATTAATGGATGATCATGTTCTTCATACATATTGTACGAAATCAACTGAAGCTCGACATTATGTACAATATGATCAAGGTTTTTTCTTTTTTTGGAAAAATATTTTTATATGTATATTATGTTTTGTTTTATCTATAGGTGAAGATCGTTGGTTATGTACACTTTTATTACAAGAAGGATATCGTGTTGAATATTGTGCTGCATCAGATGCATTGACTTATGCACCAGAATCATTTCATGTTAGTTTTCATTTCTTTTTTTTTTGTGTTTTTTATTTGAAAGAGTTTAATTTTTACAAATAATAGGAATTTTTTAATCAACGTCGTCGTTGGGTTCCATCAACTATTGCAAATATTATTGATTTTCTTGCTGAATATAAACGAATTGTACTTGTTAATGATAGTATATCATATTTATATATTATCTATCAACTTTTACTTATGGTTTCAACAGTACTTGGTCCAGCAACAGTACTTCTTATGATTATTGGAGCATTCAATGCATGTTTTGGTATATATCAAATCAGACTCTTTTGTTTGTTTAGAAAACTAACTTATCATAAAACAATAGAAAGTATTGAGTAAACCTTGAGAACAAAATGATTTTAAGTGTTGAATAGGGTTGTGTTCATTGTCTCAATAGCCATGGTTCAATGTTTATGTTGTTTTACACTTATCCACAATGTAGTGTGTTTATACCTCAGGACTACTAGCCATGGAAGGATTCTAGACAAATCACTAACGATTATTCGTCCGATAGTAGGCTAGCTACTTTATGACATATGCCTGTTCGTGTACTTGGTTAGTGGGTACGGTAAGCTCAAGGACTATAGCTAATCATAATTGGAGTAAAGACATCGGACTATTGAATCTGCCACTAGGCAGCACCCCATACTGCAAAGTAGTTGAAAGGTAGGAGTATTCTCTTTCTAGAGTCTTGCTCCATTAATTATATGCCTTATTTGAATGAGCCAATTTCGAATAATTATTGCTTTTTTAAAGAACAAATCCAATATTTTCTGTCCAATAAAGTACAAGCAGAGATTTAGACTTTGTCAATAAAAAAAAAATGAAACTTTCTCATATGTCAATAAATCACATCCCGTTAGTCCTATCTTAAAAATTGAATGAACAATAATATGTATTTTTGTCTCATAGGTTATTTTCCTTGCATAACTACTTTTTTTTTGCACAGAAATTCATGAATAAAAAAGTAACCAAAAATATAATTATAAGTCTTTTCGTCTGTTTTAAACTGTAGTTCAAAAGAAGAATATATTCATAGCAAACTATGATCTCAATAAGAATACATTTATCCTAGTTGACATTTCGAAGAATTTCTAGTGACCAGAAGATCTATCTACAACCGAAATTCGATCATATAGTTTTAAATGAAAAGTGATCTAATGGTCGGACATGTTCTCTCATTAGATCTAGTTTTCTAATCTTCACTAGACTTTTGAATGTGTATCAAATTTTTTTTTTTAGGTACAAGTCTTTGGCAATCAATGTATATGTCAGTTTTACCAGCATTCTTTTATCTGCTCTTATGTTTTCATACAACAACTGATTTTCAAATACGTGCAGCAGCTTTTCTTTCTGCTTTATATGCAATAATAATGATGTCAGTTGTTGTTGGTACAACAATTCAAATAGCTGAAGATTCTTGGACATCTCCAAATGCTGTTTTTTTAATGCTTTTATTTTCAATATTTTTTATTGCTGCTTGTATGCATCCACAAGAATTTTGGTGTATAGTACCAGGTTTACTTTATTTTTTATGTATACCAAGTGGATATTTATTTTTACTTATTTATTCACTTTGTAATCTTAATATTGTATCATGGGGTACAAGAGAAGCACCAAAAAAAGTTAAAAAAAATCAAAGTAAAGAAGAAATTGAACGTGCTAAAATACAAGAATTAACACAAGCAAAACAAAAATCAGCTGGATTTTTAAATCAAGTAAGAAAATTATTATTATTATTATTATTATTTTTTAAATAAGAAGAAAATATTTTTTTAATAAAGGTATTTGCAAATTTTAATCTTAAAAAATATGATGAACGTATACGTTCTTATGCACGAAAATGGCTTGGTCTTGAAAGATCAGGATTAAATGGTATACTCTTACAACAAATTTTAGGTGCTGTTGAACGAATGGAAAAAGTAATATGATTGTTATCAAAATAACAAAATGTTGTTCTTGGTTTTTTTAGAATAAATTTGATGAAGAAATGGAAGCTGTAGCCACTACAGGTTTATATCCTCCAACAAATAGCCATCAAGTTGACTCGGAAATTGATCCTAAATATGGTCTTATGCAATTAGCTGCTCGAGCCGGTTCACCACCAACATCAATGGCTCGTGCTAGTTATCCTCAATCAGATCAACAACAACAATTAATTTATCGTGGAATAAATAATACACGAAGTACACCATATGGACAAGTTATATCATATAGCGGTGTAACACGTCCATTTGAAGCTCCAGTTATAAAACGAGACGAACTAGGTATGTAATCGTTAAGTGTTTTTCACAAGTCATAGTCTAATAGCAATCAACAAGAACTTAATAAATTTTCCTATTTAGTGGCAATTGATTTGTTCATATCACTAGCTGTTTGAAGCATCTTGGATGCAGCAATATCTGAACCCTTTGCTCTCGCTTTCATTAGCACCCACACTCTTGTGTCGTTATCGATACTCTTAACCACAGTGAGGTACTATATGTAAACTTCAGTTTCATCAACTATAGAATAATCCTAAATAAGTGTCTAACGACTACATCCTAATATCGAATAAAATACCAATAGACATGCAGTATTAAGGGCATGACTAGTTTTTTGTTTGCCTTATACAACAGTGTCCGATATGGGTCACTTTTTTTGTGATCCAACCCGATCCGAGTCGGACACTGTTATACAAACATCTTGATGATAATAGAATTTTTAGAAGTCTGAAAAAAAAAATTCATATTTTATTTTAGTTAATCCTGCTTGGATCTTTCATGAATCCTTACATGATTCTGAAGTTGTAATGCTTGATCCACGTGAAACAAAATTTTTTCAAGAATTAATTGGATGTTATTTATATCCATTAGTTGAAGATAAAGATCATCAAAAACAAATGGTTCGTGATCTTAAATCATTACGTAATAATGGTTGTTTTATATTTTTTATGATAAATACATTATGGCTTGTTATTATATTTTCATTTCAACTTGTATCAGAACGTATACGTGATTATGTATTTATACCAATAAAACGTTTACATAATGAACCATTACGTTTTGAACCACTTGGTTTAGCTTTTTTAATTTTTTTTGCAACTATTTTACTTATACAATTTGTATCAATGTTATGGCATCGTTATGGAACATTATTACATTTATTAGCATCAACTGATTTAAAAATTTGTCAACGAAATAATGGAAAAAATAATCGTCATCATCGACGTGGAGATTTTACAACAGATAATGTTGAAGATGCTGTTGAACAAGTTAAAGTTTTACAACAATTAAAAGGTTTTGATGAAGAAGATTTACCTGAACCTGATTATGATAATGATAATGATAATAATGATCAAGATAATAAACAAGCATCAGAACCTGATTTATCAACAACAGGACTTATTTATAATGGTGGTAATCGATATATAAGAAATTCTGCAAATACATCACAACAATGGAGTGATACAGCTAAAGTAAATGATATGCAAAGAAATTTAGATACAACTGATCATAGTGAAATAAGTCAAATGTGTGGATATGCATCAGGTTCAGTTAAAACATATGGAAGTAATTATGAAGCTATAAAACGACGTCAAATATCAAATAAACGTCATTTATATAATAAATCACTTGATCATGTTTTTAAATCACGTTATCAAGCATTAACACAAAATAAAAATCAACAACAACAACAACAACAACAACAACATCATCAACAACAATCAAATAAAAATATACGAATTAAATTAAGTGATGTTTTTCAACAGCAACAACAACAATTAGGTTTACCAAGAACTAGACGAACATCAAATGAATTAACAGTACGAGATAATGTTACTACTGGAAATATTCAACAACCAACAGCAATTACAAAAAAACATCGAAGGAAATCAAAAGATCGACATTTAGAACATTTGTAGTGTGTATGTGTATGTGTGCGTGTGTGTGTTTGTGTGTATAATATCTTTCGATTTCTTTTTCATTTTAAAACTTTATGTTCATATTTATAAGCACAAGACAATATTATATATATATGGATAAAATTTACATTGACATTATCAAAACAAAAACAAAGACTTTCCACTTAAATTATAAATAAACATTTGTTCATGAGCTAGGTTTTTTTTTACTGCTAATAGTTTCATATTACAACTAATGTTTCAAAATATATGCATACAAATCGCATGTAATAATTGATTATGTATTGCACTAGGTATTTTAATAGGATCGGTAAGTGATACAAGAAAAATAAGTTTATTTCTTGCTATGTGGCTAGAAGACATGAAAAGAAAAAAAATATTATATGTATATTTCTCAAAAATAAACTTTGAATGTCTACGATTTGTGCGAAAATCTAAAAATTATATTCATGAATTTTGTAATCAAATGTTTTAGAAACTCAGCATTACCAGCCATCGGTTACTGACACATGAAAAGTCTACCATTGAAAAAAATACATTCGGTAGTGTGTAAAATAGCAATATTTCTATTTGTGATTAGACTTGAATGTTCTAAAAGCGTCAAATCTTTTCTAGAATGATCAACACGAAAAGTTCTGTAAAATGTCAATAGAACAAATTTGTATTTAAATAAACATTAATGAGTAGAAAAAGAGTTAGCTTCTTCAATAAGGATGTAAATGAGAATCATGAGGGTCTTCTCTTACTCTACCCACTCTCCCAACATTGAGCCCAGAGACGCATCCACATGCTGCTGTTTCTACGCCGTTTGTTTAATAGTTCTATTCGTAGTCTGTCAATTTCGAGTCCAATGTTAATTTTCTTGTCGAGAATGATCAGAAAAGATCCACTACAGATTCTGCTATCTTATAATCAATCTTAAGATATGTAAATTTTCTACGCATTTCTCAGCGATGTTCGCAAGTATTAAAAATTGGTCAATTTCAGATTTCTGATATTGAGAAAATATCTGCCAACATGATTGTTCGAAAAGTAAGGACACGTGCAAGTTGTACTTTTTCATGAACTACAACGTGTTGTATGAAAACAGGATATGGGTGTGGATGTGTGAGAATCATCTTGATGGACCCACATCGTGTCTTTATTAATTGATCATCGCAATCCAATCTGTTTATGATCTTTTAAAATTTAAATTCATAAGTTTATCTGTTCACTGACTTGATCTTTCAAAGTATCCCAATTTCTCTCACTACTACACAACATTTCGGCGTATGCTGCCTTAGTTGATTTATCCATTTTAATGCAATGGAACCTTCTTCTTATTGCAGTTGAAAATTGAAAATATATTCTTGCTTTTGTTAACACATTACTCAATCTACGAGCGCGTTGACTTACCAATGGAAAAATCAACAATCATTAAAATATGTTAATCGATTGCGCAATTTCAAAAATATATATAAAATTTTTATTTTCAATCATCATTGTCGAACAGTGATGAACTTGTCGAGTAATTTCAAACATAGTTTATTATCTAGATGATTTAATTGTTCTTCATAGATAAAAGAGCATACATTCAACATTCATATGATTGCCAGGAGGCAACATTTCGTTATACTTTTGATCTATCAATCAAAGTCAAAAATGAATAACAGAGGAAATTTTTGACGCAATCATATATTGTTAAAATGAATTTTTCTAGCTTGATAGTCAGTGTACGAGATTTTAAAAACATCCAGTCTTCGCTTGTTTTTGTTTTAATTCATAATTCGTCTCAATTATTGTTGAGAAAATAGAAATACAAAAATAAAATGCAGGACTATATATACTCCTGGAAATAATAGTTGTAGTATATATTTTAAACATATCATTTACATATTTTAAAAGCTCTCGAAATTTTCCCTCATCCCATATGTTCATATTTTACTTTGCACTTACATACCAGAAAATAAATCGAATGCAATGAAGATACTCTCATCACTAGTTTATCACGGACTAGATTTTGTTACTATCCTCTTGATTAGTTTTTAAAATTTTTCATCATTATAGAATTGCCTTGCATTTATTTGTTGAAAAATAATTTGAGTATACTGAACGTAATCCTTAATTAACAAATACCAAAAATCTGCATTTTTTTTTGCTATTCTATTTTTCTATTTAAATTGTTATTAATATAGAAATGACTTTTTACAAAACTGTTCTAGACCATAACCTATCAAAAATTTTTCGAGTTTAGACTGCTGTATAAATGTCTATTCAAATATGTCATGCGAGTAGCACATAACCAACGATATGCTATTGCTGAATATATCTTTGAGAAATGATTTTCTAAAAAATAGTATCTTTATACGGAATGTAGGATATATAACTTTAAAATAAACGAAATATCTATTTAAAACATCTGAAGACCTTTACTTATTAGTGCTATTGAGAGTGTGACTCTTCTATAAAACATTATATAAAGAAATATACGTAATTTACTTGAATCAAAAGAAAATGTATTCCACGAGAATATTAGAATTAAGATGAATCAACATTATTCGAAATATTAGTCAGATAATTATTAAAGGCCAAAAGCTTTCAAATAAAGAATGATAGAGAAGTTTATTTGTTATCAGAATGTATAACTACTTTTGCAAAAAGTCATTCCTATATTAATAACAATTTAAACAGAAAAATAAAATAGCAAAAAAAAATGCAGATTTGTGACATTTGTCAATTAAGGTTATGTTCAGTGTATTCAAATTATTTTTCAACAAATAAAATGCAAGGCAATAGATAAATATATAGAATGATAGACAATTTCAAGTTCCATCAGAATATATAATTATCTTTTTAGAAAGATACTTCTATAAGGCGCAAACTAAAATATAAACATACGGGCTGATGGAAAAGTTCGAGAACTTTTAGAATATGTAAATACTTTTTCCAGATTATATATGTAATAATGAGATTAAATATATCGCAAAAAAGAGTTCAATGAAAAAAAAGTCAGTTGATAAGAGTAGGTACTTAATGTTTTGACCTCGCGGTTTTTAACATGATGTTACCGCAAGCAATTCGAGCACCCGCATTTCTACAAAAGAAATATAATGTCAGTTGAAGATCAAATAGAGTAGATCATACCCAGTAGTGCTACTGTCCGAAAAACCACCCATACCACCGTCATCTCGCATTGCATGCAGAACAATGGTTCGATTAACAATCGATTGTGTCGCATTATATAGTTGAATAATCGAATCTTGAATGTTGATGTTGATCGTGCCGTCATTAGCAGAAGTCACATTTCCAAGATCTCCAACATGTCGGTTCATAATATCTGCAGTGATTGAACCATGTGTCGTACCTGAAAGAGAAAATGATGGATGAATTATTCATGATGTTTGTCAACAATCAAGACTAAACTCACCGTAAGGATTGAAGTGAGGTCCAGCCGCTGTACAATTGAGTTCGCCGTTTACTAGTGGATCCCTGTGTACATGAAAGCCCTAAAGTGAAAATGGGGACACTGTACTGGGATCGACAATGATGATCTATTCATGATTGAGTATTTTCAGACACTGATGTTTTGATCTTTCAATTATTGTGCAAGCACTAATATTATATAGTATGGAGAGAGAGAGTAAAGTAGGAGTCCTGCAAACGAAAACCAGCTTCGATTTCACTTTTAAATGTTGCAAATTCTAAAGCTGAGTTTTTCAAACTTACATGAACAGTGTTGGGCGTCATATTCCAGAATTTACCCTTGATGATGACTGCAGAGTCGCTGTCGTTCTGTATGAATTTCAAGTACCCGACACAAATGTTACTGGAAGCTGAATGGACCTTAGCTTTCGCCATCATGATACTCTGTGCATTGTGGATGAATAACAATGAAATGACAGCAAGAAGTACGAGCATTTTGTCGTGATTTTCTTCACAAATAATCTAATAAGACAGAGTTAAATGCTTAAACGATATATGATCTAATAAGACCTTTGTAGACTTGTTGAAACATTTCTCTTATGAGAAGCTATACAAGAGACGAGTATCAGAATACTAATATTTCTAGACTCTGTACGATTTTACTCAAGTAGAATGGTTAAGAATTCTATTTAATCTTGAGAAATAGATATTTATCATTAAATTGATTTAATGTGAAAAGTGACTTCTTCTAACATCTTCGTCGCTTGCATAAAGATTCTCACTGATAGCTAAAATGATTAAAATTCTGCTAATCTATGCTCAATAATATAAATCACAACAGGGAGTTACCGTCAGCCGTTTTCTTTGTACATGGTGTTCGACAAGTTATGGAGGCTATGAAAAGAAATCTACCTTATTCTACAAGGAGAATTTCCCTAATAAAACTGATATGTAATGAAGAAATGACATTCTGATAAAACTCTCATAACCATTGCCTGTCTCTGTGTTTATCAGAAGCCTCTATATATATATAAGGCTTAACGCATTAATTCCAGTTTTTATATTGACGATCATAAATATACGCAAATGCATATTGATTAATTTAAATCCGTCTAATCGAGCATTCGAAGAAATATTAAAAAAAAACAAAATCATGTATTAAAAGTATACATTCATTGATGGCACTTGAGAGTACACTCTTGAGGGCTATTCAGCCATTCTTTAATCAATCCAGATCGATTAGCATTTAAAAGTACAAACGATCGATGGACTTGCCATTCATGGAATTGATGAAAGTTGTTATGCTATGGAAGTCGATGATTCGACAAAGATATTTATTGAGAAATATCATCCAATCTGATCACATCTTGCCATCTTATTGACACTCACGTCTGGTATACAAGTTATAATCATTCATCAGTGCACTTATGCATAAAAACTTATACATACATGAGAGTATCGTACAAAAATACCGTCAGGTCACAAAAGTGCATTCAATATTATTGTTGCTGCGCAATATCATTGCAAAATGAAAGTCGTATTACGAAACTAATTCTATCTCCCATACAAACACGTAATATTTTCAAAGAGAGCAAGTATTCGGTGACTTATTTTATCGACAAACATCGATGCCAAAGAGTTTTGTCTATGATTTGGGTAAGGTGAGGGTGTGAGTGGATACCCCACATCCATATCTACACCCACACCCACGTCCATACCCACCCTCACCCTATGACTTTTCGTTCGAAAGTTATAAGCTTTTTTCCAGGTGCCTTCTTTTAAAATTCCGATAGTAGAAACGAACAAATTTTACGAGAGTTTTTCTTCTCTATAGGCCGTCTTTAGGACGATACTGATTATTTGGAGTATATTTCTGTGTTAAATCTTGCAAGTCTTTGTCAAATTTTGGTGTATGTTGTTCAGATTTTCCGTGTATAACACTGTTAACAATATTGCGTTCTTGACTATTTAGCATTGTTCTATTTCGATTGTCATCCATTTGACGAATTTGTGCAGC